ACATATACCATTCATTTGCCCCTATTATCAAACTTTATAATTTTCCAGAAATTATTCATCTTCTGTTTGTTGTTTCATTACATCAAAATATTATTTCAACTTTAGCAGCTGAAAAGACGTGCCCTGAAATGCATCTGATTGCCTATAAAAAAACATTTATTAAGGTTTTCAGGTTTTCTTTGACAATCATTTCGCTACATATGCTTCTCAGTAATTGCCAATGATAATGTTGGATATTAAGGCGGACTACTTTCATGTTTATATGCAATTTTAATCACTTTCTTATTTTGATTAGCCCTGTATTTTTGTAAAAAAAATAGCACTGCTGTTGCGTAGCCCAGGATGCTTTCAAATGGCTAAAATATTCAAAAAAAAAAGCACCATATTGCTTAAATGAAATGGCAGCGCCGACGAACCAGTAACAACATTAATTTCTGTAGTACAAATTTGCCACGAGAAAATGTATATCTCGAAGAAGCTTTAGCGATGCATTACCAAATGTTAAGTAATTAATCATTAGTATCTGAAAGAACTAAAACTGCAGAAATTCTAAACACCGTATAATGAGTAATAACTAAAAAACAAGCATTGTTCCACAACATTAAAAACCCACCTCCCTAACAATACACTAACACCAAACCGCGCGATGTATTTTACAGCAGAGCCGACGGCACATAGCACATTTATGAAGGGGCCGTGAAACTAACCCAGTTCTGTGGCTCCAGGGATTTGGCAGACAGGTCAAGAAGGAGCGTGCAGGGCAGCGATTGAGACGAATGCACGTAGACAGCTAGACTAGAGCGGAGACCGCGCAAAATGTGGTGGGCCGGGCCCCGCGCCCGAATGTACGAACAGACACGCAAGCATGTTAACAACGGCAGGGGCCCCTACTGCCCCAGCGACCCGGCGCTGGAAGTGCCAGCGACCGCGGTATTTTCCGCTGCCCTGGCCACGCCACCGCGCCGAAGGCGAGTCAGAGAGGCGATTGGCGTGATCGTCTCTCACAAGACCGTCTTTGCCAGTTTAGTGCTGCTGAGAATCCAATCTCACCTCCGGCCGTGTCCGTTAGCTCCTTACCGTGTGATTATCGCCTGCCTGCGACGCGCCGGTCGACGCCCTTACTTCTTCCTCCCACTCCCCTTCCATCAATCATTTCGCTGCCCCTGTCTTTAGCCTGTTTCGCACGGAGCCGATCAGCACATCACCGAAAACGGACATATTACAACTTGTGCATATACTTATCATCAAGAAAATGCTTCGGCGATTCGTACTATCACGTCTCTATTTTTCGGGCTCCAAGACTGCGACATATTTCGTATAGGTAATTTAGAAGTTACAGCCAAAAACCCTGGCCAACACATTATATATACATTTAAAAAATAACTTATTAATTTCTAGAAAAATTAAAACAGCGAGTTTGCCTAATTCAGTACGTTTATGCGCCATCAGCTTGCATATTTGTCGGCAAGTTTAACCGCGTCTAATTTATATACACAGCTGACATCATCAGCGCTATTGACATTTATCAGTGGTCTAAAATAAATAGCCAGTCCTTACAGATATGCGTTTTCCTAGGGCTCAACTATCGGGTTTAAATATTTCCCTCTAGCTTTTATGATAACCAAAATAACCGCACTGTAATTTGTCCAAATTAAACTCCACCTAACAGGTAGGCCGGACTTCAAAGTAGATATCTATTGTGTCACTGCCTCTTTACTGCTTGTAGCGGCAGCAACGGGATCTTTTTGCGTCCAACTTCCCGCCACTCGTGCCCCGGGGCCATGCGCACCAGTTTCTCCCATTTTCCGCTGCGCCGGCTCGCCTCCTGCCACGATGCCCCACGTCTTCAGCTCGAACCACACGCCCTGCGGACGCGGGCGAGTCCGCTAACGCCAGCGGCGAAACACAAAGGGTGAGATGCCAAAAAGCAGGTATCCATCGGGGCGGGCTTCGAAATGCCGAAAGCGTTTGCAGCACAGACTATGAGCTAGCGCACAATTTTTGACTTCTAATTTGTCTTTTCCACGTTATACTTGCATTACCACTTTACACTGCACCCTGCACACACAGAGATTCGGGGGGAAGATAGAGCGGCGGCCGCGGCGATTGCCGCGCAGCGCGCCGGCGGCACGACGTCGTCGGAGCCCCGAACCCTCCGCCGCGGGGGCGAGGCTCGGGGCGACGCGCACTCAGGCAGCAGGTCAGCGCCGCTTAAGAGTTGGCGATACTCCCAGCAGCCTTGGTGCCCTTACGTAGCACCATGCGTCAGCGCGCGTCTGCCTGATCACGGCGGAGTTAATCTAGAATTCACCAAGTGCGTGCCGAGCCATCACACATGGCCGCCGAACGCTGCTTCTTCTCTCACAGCCAAGCGGTGTCCCACACATGCGCCGTGTACGTCTCCGAAACGAGCCGTCATGTTGGTATTCAGTCAATATATAATGGTCGAAGTCTATCACGGGGCCATCTTAGGCTCTGGACCACCTTGTCAGGCTCGACCTTCCAAGTGCACATCTTAGGGGGCGACAGATGAACTATGCATATCGCGTGTTGGGCTCCCCGAAAGCTCGGCTTGCAATACTTCAGACGACCAACCAGTCCGCGAAGCTTCTCGAGGAAGGATGCGTATTCTATCAGCGTTTGCCATGTCGCAACCACCAGAGATTGTTGGCCTCTGCGAAGCGAAAGTAGTTGGGCACATGCTGCGCATTGTGCACTTCCTGGCCGGATATTGGTTGTCCACATCAGCTCGACCTTATACACAGTCTTGTTGTCAGACATCACCACGTCTTGACGGATGAAGCCTCGACGTCTCGATGGTGGGGGCGAGTTAGCATAGAAGCAAGACTTAGCGTCGCGTCTACAATACGTGAAATAAATCGCTGCGTGCCCCAGCGACGGTTTTTTCCTATGCCACTCTCTCCCACCGGAGCGAGCCAACCTGTGGATTACAAATCTTCGGTCGTAACGTTGACCCGTCACGGGCTCCAATCTCTTCCATCATGGGGAAGGCCTGGCTGCGGTGTAGGCTCCATGGACCGTCACCGGCGACTATCTCTCGTGGTCGTCGCTGTTGAGATGAAACATAAATAGGTCTGTCGATGCCGATCAATGCATATACCTGGGCTGGTGAATCAATGGATTAGGCTGGCCTTACCCTATGAGTATAGCGTATCACATATTTCCACAACAGTTCAAATCCCACGATACTGTCGCTCAGTCTAAACTATAGCGCCTTATCAACCACAACACTTTATATATGCAGCACTGGCTTCTATTCGAAATTAAAAAAACAGTTGGTATCGTACCGCACAGTACCGTATAAGAGAGCGAGTTGACAAATAAATTTTTGTTCTGAACAGTTGATCCGTGGTACGTCAGCACAGCGAGCGATGTCTTGAGGATCCCTTGCGTCGACTTATTTATGAAGTGTGCTGATTTCGTGTTATGATCCGAAGACCTCGTCCAGCGAAACATCGTCCTAGCATTGCGTGCAGACAGCCGCGACTGCTTTCTGCCAGCAGGACTGCCTCTGAGCCGGCTCTCCGCTGTGCGCGATTAGATAAGGGATTCACCGTGCGCCTCGAATCCGGGGGAGCGGTGTAACGTTGTTCAAGTATGCTTTGTGGGGTGGGGAACAGATCAGCTGGCAGGGGGTTGTCCGAGACAGGACAAAAAAGTTAGGCAGGGGGAGGCTGCCGCAGCAGAGGGGTGTCAGGCTCGGGCCAAATAAACCGGCGTGTATATTTCTGCGTGCCAGGCCTCCGCGATATTTATGGCACCCGTGATCCAATGCGATCCTATTATTTTAAGTCATAGATGCTGATCATGTCACAGAATTACACAATTATAAGTCATCTGTCAGAAAACATTATCTATATATTACTTTTCCATTCAGAGAACATTTACCAATTATTGCCATCGCTCTAACTTTCTATTTCTAATCCCAAATGCTTCATAGTCAACACATGAAAGTAGCGGGCTTTTTCGCCGAATCAAAATCCAGCGGAGCGTGACTGGCTAAAATGCATTTTGCAATGCAGGGTGTGGAAGGGGGTGGAACAGTTGCCGAGGGGCAGGCCAGAGCCAGAAGTAGGAAGGAAAACCAACGAATACAAGTTTAGCGGGAAGCAACGTCAGATTGAGATACGGCGGAGACCAGGAAGGAGAGACGGGCAACGCAAATATAATAGGGAGAGAATGTTGGAGGGGGATTAGTAAGGAGGAACATCGTGGTAGGAAAACTGTGAGGAGACAGTGGGAAAATATTAGTTGTGAATTTGAACGCGGAGTATTTATTTTCGAATAACGTAACTGCTCTCTGCACACTTTTATTTCGTAGCGTTTTCCTTCTGATCAATCCTAGGAATTCTGCAGTTATTCTTCGATCGATAATGTCTTTCTAGATCAGTCGTGCAATTACTGTTTTAATGTTCACAGCGTACTTCTGTGCCGGAATTCGTATACATTTTAATGGGGTTGGCACATAAAATCATTTTCTTTAACCTGCAAATAACGTGAGGCCAACGGACGTTTCATTAGTTTCACTGATACAAACATTTCATTGCGAGTGTAACTTTATAAAATTGTACAAAGATTGCTGCATTTGAAAAGTTAACATTTTTTTGTTTGCAGAATTTATTATACTTTTAAAAGAAAATGTTACATAAATATCCATGTTAAAAATAATGTGATAAAATGATTAGATTTGTTTTGAGTTCATAAACATGTACCGCGAACTTGGCATTGTCCGGCAAGTACTTTAATGCGGTAGGCGATAGTAAACTTTAGTACTAACACTTTTCCACAGAATTATTTGTAATCCAGACACTAAAGTGGGTTAAGGTTTATATCACCAACTTGTACTCAGATGTCCGTGGTAGAATTTTGGTCTTTTCAAAGTATTTTTTAAAATTATTTTTTTAACAGATAAATTCAATATTAGTCTCTGGCACAAGATACTCCACACTCATACGAGTCGACACGTGTCAGCGAAACGATCAACAACACGGGCGCACGGCGTCTGCGAAAAACTTCACTTCGTCCGCGTTCTCTGCGAAGGGGCGCAGTTCGTTCTCGATGAGGTCTGCGCGGTGCTTGATGGCGGAGATGAGGTCGACGAAGGCGCAGGTGACGTTGGTGCCCTCCTTGGCTGACGTCTCGTAGAAGGGCAGGCCCGCGGATTGCGCGAGCCTCTCGCCCTCGAGGTACTTCACCTGGCGGTCGTCCGCGCAGTCGCACTTGTTGCCCAGCACCACCAGCTCCACGCCCTCTTGGGCGTAGCGGTAACTGTCTTTCACCCAGTCGCGGACGCTGCGGAAGGAGCTCGCGTCCGTGGTGTCGTACACCACCACCACGCCGTTGGCCATGCGGTAGTACAGCGGCACCATCGCGCGGAACTGCTCCTGGCCGGCCGTGTCCCAGATCTGCACCTTCACAACTTTGCCCTCGATCTCCAGGATGCGCGAGGAGAACGCCGCGCCCACCGTGCTCACGTTGCCCTCGAGGAAGGCGCCCGCGGCGAAGCGGTGCGCTAGGCACGACTTGCCCACGTGGTGATCGCCCACCATCACCACTTTGAAGACGTAGTCGCTTTGCGGGTAGTGGGCCATGGTGTCTGTTGGGCGGCTGCGCGGCGTGTCCCGCGGGCGCGCGGCTGCGCTGGCGATAGCGGGTGCGCTGCTGACCTCTCGCCCTCTGTGATAGCTGCGCGCCACCGACACACGACGAGGACGCGAGGCTTCGCCGACGGGCGGGGGCGACAACGGCGGAACGCACGAAACTGCGGGCGCGGACAAACGCGCTGCGGTTAAATACTGGGAAGGCCAGGCAGATAGCCGCCGCTGCCGCTCGCCGGGGAGGAAGCTTTGGCGGGCGGGCGGGCGCAGGCATTGACTCAGCCCCCGCGCCCCGGGCGGCGGCGGGAGGGGGCCCTGGAAAGCCCCCCCGGGCGGACCAAGGTCCTCCGCCCCTGGAGCCGATGGCCGCGCGAGGTCTCGTGATTCAGCCCCGTCGCCAGGGATTTGCGTTCTTACCGAGAATTCCACAAAAACTGACACAATGGTTGCGTCTCTTGACGTCGCGTTTGGGCAAGGTAGGGCGTAGATAAGGGGGTCCGGAATAAAGCCTCGCGCTCGCCGCCCCGATCAATGTCGGGAGCGCGCTCCCTAGAGGCGCTTTATCACTTATCACGAGGCCGCGGTCTAATTCTGACGGCAGGCAGCCCTGATGCGCGCTCGCCAGTCAAAACAAAGGCATCTGCATCAACGACGCAGGGTGATGTTGAAACAGCTGCTCAATCTAGTTCGCCGTGAGACCCGCCAACCATGTGGATTTTCTTGCCCCACGATAGTGTATAAAATGTTAAGATAGAAAAAGATTAAACTATTAATATCTCTACCCTTTTGTAATTTTTTTGTAGAATATTTTCACGAGGACTTTTTTGTAGAACATTTCATTAAGAATCAATAGAAAAGCAACAAAATCCAAAACAAAAATATTTCCTTGGAAATGGCACATAAGAGACAAATAATTCTTACTCTTTCTTATGACATTAATAATAATAATATAAAAATAAATTATAAGTATACTTATTATATTTTTATTATTCGTATAGTAAATGCCAATAATATGTAACATTAAAAATTGACAAAAGTACGCAATTCGCAATGTGCTCAGTCTTGGGAATATTTATTAAATTCAGGAAACAAAAACTAGGAAGTTGAGGGATTCACGGAATTATTCTCGGTATGTTCGCTATTTCAAAAGAAAGATTGTTTGCTAACCACAAATAACCTGTGGATACGTACTTCTAAAGTAAATATTTGATAAAAATAGAAGCTAGAAAGCTATATGACTCAAAGATTGGGAGACGGGCAAAACAAGGAAGTTGCCAAGATACGATGAAAAGACATATCGAACTGACGGTCCTGGGAGTAAACAGTGATATTTACTGAAATGGAAAGCTAAACTAAAACTAAGAATGCAAAAATTACTCTATTGGTGTTAACTGCACGCCATTATAAAAATTAGCGCTGCTCAGAGTTCGGTACTTTTTTTACAGCAGTTGTTAAATGGATGGCTTCAGACTTATTGAAATATTTAAGGCAAACGATGTTTTGTACGTCACGATGTCCAAACGTTTACCGCGTCGTTCGCTGCTTCACGCGGCCGCAGAGAAATAATACTGGCAAATCTTGTCACTAGATCACTATCATTCGCAATCATTCTACTTTTACTGCATTTCGAAATGTTAATAGTTTGACATTCACAGCTTTTTTGCTTTTGATAAAAGTAAACTAAAAAAGTAACTTTGTGTAGGAATGGCAAAAAAAACAACTCTCTTTACGTAAAGTTTTCCACAAGATGAAAGTTCTAGAACCGGGAAAAAAAGACGCTCGCGAAAAGAGGCTTCAAAATGGGAGCTATTTTTCGAAGTTAGAGAAAATTTTAAAAAAATGTGATAACTACTGTCAAATTATTTTAATTAATGAATGTTGCTAAAGAAAACATTACGATATTTTAAACACATTGAGAAAGTAAAACATTTTACTAATTCGTCAAAGGTATTAAAATGAAGTTAAAAAAATGATTTTGAAACTTCAAAAACAAAATCCTATTTTTTTACGCATTTATGAGGACATAGTCTTAAGGGACCCCATCTACAGCCGCCCTTGAAAATGAGTCAACCCACGTGTCTTGATGTAGACCTGTTTTTAATACTGCGCCATTAAGCAGACTGCACCATTCTTGGTTTAGGATGAAGTTGTTGCACCATGCAGGTCACTTTTGCTGGCCAATAATACAGTTTAAATTTAAATACTGATAATTTTGTTTGCTTGTAAGATATGTTATTATTAATAAATACCATGTATGATTGGATGAGAGTTTTACTAATGGACATGTTACGATTAAAAGAGAAGCACAAGAAAGTGAAAGTAGGTTACAGCAACTACATATTGCAATAAATAAAAATGAATATTCATATTTCTCCAGAGAACAATGTCAAGATTTACGTGTATTCATGTGTATGTAACAGTGTCGCATTCTCGAGCATGAGCAGTGCAATAAGATTGTGCTTCATCAAAACCAATATGGCGGGACTACTACTGAGGAGGTGAACACGTGAATGTAAATGAGAATACTGTTATTTTTATTGCTCTAGTTTTGTGAACAAATAAAATTCTTAATGTCACAGTGCAAGATAAGTTAGAAATAAAATAAGGATTATTTCGGCTGTCTATTAATTAAAAACAAAATAAAATGTTCCATAAATTTCATAAGTAATGTCTTTCAAATTTCTCAAATATATTTTCAACAAGTAAATAAATTATATCTACAAAATAGATAAATTATGTGTTGCTTACTTCAGCCAATTAATTATACTTTCAATTTATGTACAAATTAAAACAAATTATTTATAAGTACATGAGAAAAGGTTCAATGAATGAAAGTTATAAAAATGACAAATACTGATTTTATATAAAAAACAAACCCCATTTAAGGCTATGATTTACTTTTTTTTCTATGATTTTTCAATGAATGAGCATTGCATGAACGTGAACCTTCGAAATAGTAGGTAAATAATGATATTAGAACTTCCGAGTATTCTGTATGTACACCTTGGGTTAGATTTATTTTAAAAATGTTATTTTTACATACGATTTATCATCCAATTAGCGCACTGTCATGAGTTTGTTGTAATCGAAGTATACATTTTAACTTTGCCCCGAGATTTAGGCCTGTGACACACGTGTGTTACGTTGTCGCGCATCATCTAAGGCTGATGACGGCAGCTGCGACGATGCACACGAGTCACTGAACCTCCGACGTAGATTAACACTTATACGACAAGCCACACGAGCGTCTTTGACGACTTGCGTGTTGCCCACGGGCGTCGCGCGACGAAACCTAAAAAAAATGCGCATTATCTTGTCTTACATTGTAGCTTGAGCATCTTGCTTCATCTGTGGGCACAACGCACGTTCCCAAGGGCGCTCGTACGCCGTGTCGTGTAACAAAAGCGTTACTCTATGACGCACGTTAAGTGACTCGTGAGGGTAGGCGTGGATGCAGCCGAAGAAATCAACGTTAAGTGACGCGCGTCAACGCAACACTCGTGTGACACAGGCCTTAGGTATAACCAATCACAGCCGAAGTCTTTGATCATAGCCAGCATGAGCAATGTTACCTGAGCATTCTTGTTTCTTTCAAGGATGTATTAGTAAAAGTAGATTACAAACGAAGGTATGCAAAACGTGATGTTTCTTAAAAATAATGCAGACAGTTAATCATTATAATGTTTAGTGATTTCATAATTAAACATTTGATAGATAGTCATGTAAGTATACAAAGCATCAAATGTTCCTGATGTATCTACAGATAATAGCAGCAAGGAATAAATATAGAAAGTAAGATAATCAACTGACAATTTATTTTGATAAACTGACAAATAAAGTAAAGCTATATTTTCATTATTTATAGCAAAAAAAAAACATTATCTTTGCAAAACCCATCGAGTTACGCGTTATATTTTCGAGCAGTTTTAATTGCGAGTTTTTTTGATATTTCGATATCCGATATTTTCTACTCATTCATGAAGATACAGATGTTCACTTATACGGACATGCTACAGAAAAAACAATTAGAAATAATAAATAAATGTAACAACCTACAACAGATTACTCGTGTAGTAACTAATCAATCAATATTCAAAATTATTTTTTCATTACTATTGAATGACAACCATGACGTAGCACTTTGCTAGATGCGTAGGACAAAATAAATAAAACTCTGGGCGACATGAATCAACTTGGCATTGTCCCAAAATTTGACAATTATCCCAAGAGGGATCAAAGGTTTCCATTAATTCGTACTAAACAAAATGAACGCCATTCGAATAAAAGACTGCGGCACATTAATTTCAAACTTTTGGATTCGGCTCGTTTTGTCACCCTTCGAGATTCATTCGTGCACCGAAGACTCACTTTCTCTTCTAGTTGCCGCGAAAATGGTAAATATTCGGAATATTTAAAGAACAAAAAATTTAGCTTTCTCTGCCAATGAGAGTCCCTTTAATTTCTATTAATAAAATACATTCATACATTTGCTTAGATTTCATTGTTTATATTTTTCAGAAACTTCATAATTTATTCTTTATTAGTAACAAACCTAAAATAAAACCACACCAATATTATATAATAATGCAAATCGTACCTAACGAATACTTCAGCTAAATTTTGAAAAATTCACCCAATGAAGCGCGGGAGATCTAAAAAAATACACATATGTATATTTTGTAAATTTAAAAGTTTTAATTAAAATGCCTTTCCTTGCTTTGAATTCTGTTCATTGTGATATATCCTTATAAAAATATATTTCCTCGAGTTGTGATTTGAACTCAAGCTCTTATATTTCCGAATACAAAATATGATAGTTGTTATACTTACGCTCCTATACTAATTTTTCAATGTTGTAGTGCTTCTAATGCCTACGATGCACAGTTGTCATAATATTACTAAACATTTCGCAAAACTAAACATATTTTGAAAGAATTGGATTTTAAATTATTTAAAAATCTAAAATGGAAGAATAGATTATTTTAAGAAAGGCG